GAGGGAGAGGGAGAGGGGGAGGGAGAAAGAGGGAGAGGGGGAGAGGGAGAAAGAGGGAGAGGGAGAGGGGAGGGTTAGCGCCGGAGGTGGAGGACCTGAAGGTGCAGGGGAGAACCGGGCAGAAGCACGTACTGAGCTCGTCCTCATCCTCGCTGTCGGTTTCGTCGGCGTCGGCATCGTCGTCGGAGCCGACAACCACATCGTCGGCGTCCTCGTCCGACGAGACGTCGGCGGCCGAGGTGGCCTGGCTGCGATCCCCCTCGATGTCGAGATGCTCGCCATCATCGGCCGTGGCGGAAGTGGCAGCGCCGGCGGTAGCAGCGGTGGAGCGCCGCGACTCGCTCAGCTGTCGGAGCTTGGCCCCCGGGCGCTGAGTGACCACACCAAGACCGGAGTCCCTGGACTGGGGTGAATCCTGAGGCGGGGGGGGGGGAGCATCATGGTGAGCGAATGCAGCACAGAAGCCATATCCAGGAGGGAGGGGTGCGCACCATCGGCGCGCGCCCTGCGGAGATGTCGGCGGTGTCCGATGGGGCGGCCACCGTGGTGGCCCTCTTGCTGAGGGCGGCCGATGCCAGGATCGACCGGCGCCCGGTCTTGGTGGAAGAGGCCTTGCGCGCGGAGCGCAGCAGGCTGGAGAATTGGTCCGGCGTCGACCAGTCAAGATCCTCGTCTCCCGCGTCGAGGGCATCAGAGCGGCCGCGCTTGGCGGAGTGCTCGGCCTCGGCCGAGAAGTCTAGCACACGCACAGGGCGGTCGCCGGATCTGCGCCAAAACCATGGGGGTAGACGTAAGGCGAGAGACGAGGGCGGTTAATGGCTGACATGCTCATGCGTGCATACACGTGTGTGTGTGTGTGTGTGTGTGTGTGTGTGTGTGTGTGTGTGTGTGTGTGTGTGTGTGTGTGTGTGTGTGTGTGCTGTATGCATCCATGCTCGTGGGAGGCATGCGCCGAAGAAATGGAGAGGAGAGGAAAGAGGAAGGGCGTGCGCGTACCCGGGAGTGGAGTCCGCGCCGCCAGGGACCGGGAGGATCTCACCGAACTCGGCCAGCTCCTCGCGCTCTTCGCGCGTAAGGCGCCGCTTGTTGCCACTGGAGGCCGTACCACCGGCGGCCGCCGCGGCAGCAGCAGCCCGACCAGCAATCGACCCGATGCCCGAGGTCCTCTTACGCTTGAGGGCGGACATGACCGGGGAAAAGAGAGGAGAATGGGGCGAGGGGGGGG